GTGCCCTACTTGTAGTCTTTATATTGTAAAAGTGTTCGTTGATATCGTATCGAGGTCATAACTATGTTTACTATGTCGGTATGTAGTGTCCTTTCCGGTGTATTCCATCTTCATACACGAGAATATACATCCATGTGTCAGAACCTTTAAGCAGTACGGTCCGGCAGAGCCTTGGATGCCTGGAACGACTGCTCAAAGTCAGCAATGATGTCGTCAATGTACTCCGTACCAACTGAGATGCGGATTGCGTCCTCCTTGACACCAGAGTCACGGCGTTCCTGCTCGGTGAGCTGCTCATGGGTAGTGGACCAAGGGTGGATAGCCAGAGTCTTGGAGTCGCCGACACTGCCTTGCGTTAGTATAATGTTTTCAAAGGAGAGCGAATGGGAATCAGTCATACTTGGCAAGGTTGGAGATCAACTTGAAGTTATCAACGACCTGAGCACCAGCGGCAGCGCCACCCTTGATGCCTACAGACAACACACCACCAAAGCCACGGGGCAGGTACTTCTTTGCGAGATCGTGGCTAGGGTGATCCTCCAGACCGGGGTATGACACCCAGCTCACATTCTCGTTCTTCTGCAACCATTTGGCCAGGGCGGTAGCGTTAGTTGCGTGTCTCTCGCAGCGCAGACTGAGAGTCTCCAGGCCGAGGATCAACTGCTGGGCAGCGAAGGGGTTCAGAGCAGAACCAAGGTCGCGCAGGATTTCCACGCGCACTCGGATAGCATACGCAAGCGGGCCAAAGGTCTCCCAGAACTTCAACCCGTGGTAACCCTCGGATGGCTCGACGAATTGGGGGAATCGGGCAGCGTTCTTGCCCCAGTCAAACTTTCCACTGTCAATCACGACTCCACCAATGGTGGTACCATGGCCGCCGATCCACTTTGTAGCACTGTGCACGACAATATCGGCACCGTGGTCAATTGGGCGAACGAAGTAGCCACCAGCGCCGAAGGTGTTATCGACCTAAAAATAAGATTCGTAAGCTTTGCATCCTCATACGCTTTCTAGACAAAATAACATACCACAACTGGAACACCCTTCTCGTGTGCGGCCTTGGCAATGGCCTCGAAGTCCGGAACATTGTATCGGGGGTTACCAATAGACTCGATGTAGACAGCCTTGGTGCGGTCATCAATAGCCGCGGCAATATCCTCAGGCTTGTCACCCTGGACGAACTTGGTATTGATTCCCATGCGCGGGAACATAACCTTGAACTGGTTGTAGGTACCGCCGTACAGGTTGCTGGTGGAGACAATGTTGTCTCCGGCATGGGCGAGGGCCGAGATGGCCATGAATTGGGCAGCCTGACCGGAGGAGGCAGCAACGGCGGCAACACCACCTTCCAGAGCTGCAATACGCTTCTCGAAGACATCGACTGTGGGGTTCATGATTCGGCTGTAGATGTTGCCGAACTCCTTGAGGCCGAAGAGCCTGGCGCCGTGGGCCGAGTCATTGAAGACGTAAGAGCTAGTCGCGTAAATTGGGACAGCGCGGGAGTTTGTGGTTGAATCGGGCTCATGACTTGAGCTGTTAGATTGGTCTTTGAATTGGGAGATTGGACACTTACCCAGCGTGAAGCTGTAGAGTGTCAAAGTGGAGATTCTCAGACATGGTTCAAGAATGCGGGGAAGTTATGTGAATTTAGGACAAGACACTGTCAAACAACCCGATACCTAAGACTATTGAGATTGAATTGGAGAAAATAAAAGAAAACAAAAGAAAACAAAGAAGATCAAGTAAAAGAAGAGAAAATGGAGGGACAAATTTAGAATGGCGGGGTGCAGATGGCGTGATTTGGTGCTATACTCCACATGTTCCTCCTGTTCCTGGATCCATATGCTTGGGAGACTCCGGAGTACAAAGACAGTACTTAAAAGCTTTTAATCTATGTATCAAACATTAGTTAATATCAATCTTAGTAGCGAGTAAATATATAATATACAGAGTACAAGATATTATGGATAAGTGGGATTTTGATTCAGTCTCATTGCTAGGTCGATTTCAAATTATAAGAATACAGTTGTAGAAAGGGTTTGACTTAGGGCCTAACAAACATTGTAGTAAAGCCAGGGTTTATGTAGATGTTGAAAAACAATGTGATTTCGATAAATAAGCATATACTCCTCTCCCAATATATATCTCTGTACTCGTCCGCTTAGAATTCACCATAACGATAGATACCTTCCTCAAGAGCTTTGATCTGGAGTGCCAGAACCTTGGAATAGTATCTGGCAGTTGCCAGGTTGCCCCCATGAAAGTAGAATCCCGGGTGTCCACTATCCTGCCACATGGTCCTGATTTCTCCTTCGTTATTGTAACCCCAAACATCAGACACCTTATCAGCCACCTTGTCGCCTAGAATCGTTCTTGTTTCTGAGCGCATATTGTCGTATCCAGTAGCAAAGATGATTTCGTCGGCTTCTAGCTCAGAACCATCGGCAAATTTCAGCCCTCGAGGCAGAACTTCAGCGATTTCTTGGCCTTGCTTCACCTTGATCTTTCCATCCACGATCATTTGAGAGGCCCCGACATCGATGTAGTAACCACCGCCGCGCTGGAAATATTTGACGAATAGTCCGGCACCATTGGGACCACGATCAACCTTGAACCCGGCTTTTGCAAGTCCCTCTAGAAGCTCCTTATCGTGCTCTGCCTCTTGAGCAGTGATATGGATTTGAAGCGCCTTCATGACTGGCGTAGGAGTGCCATGTAGAAGGAGATCGGCATCTGCCACTGGCGGACCATCCTCTTCGTAAAGGCCCCTTAGACCGATCTTCCGGATGGCAGCTGAGGAGATAATGCATGTGGTCGATCTCTGCACCATAGTGATATGGTAGCCTTTCTCCTGATAATCTTGTGCGATATCGTGGGCCGAATTACACGAACCCACAACGATAGCCCTTTTGCCATGGCCATTTCTCTGGGCGCCGGGAAATTGCGAAGAGTGACAAAGAAGTTCGCCCTGGAAGTTTTCCATGCCAGGGACATGAGGCATTTTCATCTTTCCAGAGTGACCGGTCGCTTGGATAATATGACGGGGGCGGAAGGTTCTCACTTCAGTGGTTCCGTCCTTCTGTTGGCGCGAGACATTCACGATCCAGTTGGCATTTTTCTCGTCCCATTCGCACTGGGTGATAGCTGTACTGGTCCAAACATTGAGTTCTAGCATTTTGACGTAGCACTCAAAAAATTCGGCCAGCTTATCCTTTGGCGTGAAGATAGGCCAATTCGGTGGAAACTCCATGTAAGGCATATGATCGTACCACACTGGGTCGTGTAGGACGAGCTGACGATATCGCAATCGCCAGTTATCCCCGACTGACTCGTTTTTATCGATGATGAGGGAGTCTACTCCTAGCATCTTCAATCTCGCAGCCGCAGTCAAACCACCCTGTCCGGCACCTTTGAAATCAGGATCAGCAGGGGGGGTCTTGAAAATGATGATTAGATAGGAACTTACCGATGATGAGTACACTCGGCTCATGACCGTCAGTGTAAGCAGAGAAATCGGCTCTTTTTTCCGCCCAATTCTTGCGATCTGGGTGACCACCGTGCTCCGCACCTTTGGGTCTCCGATGTCCAAGAAGCTCTTCATGGCCCTTGAGCTCTTTAAGAGCAGTGAAAAAGGTGTAAATTTTCCATGTATCGTTCTGCAGCGCGAGGCGGGCGATTCCAACCGCAGAACCATGAGCCGTCTCCGCGGTGAAGAAAAATTGGATGCCTTGAACTTCGCCAGCTCCGTCAAGTGCGCACACTTTCGGAGCGCGAATGGAGGTGCTCCTGTCAACAGAGATCTTCTGGAGTCGCATACCGTCCCTGGACTCGGAACATTTCTCAAGGAATTTCACGATAGGTTCATGGCCTTGCACCGTTCGAAGCTGCCATGATAGCGCTAGATGGTCGCGCCAGAAACCGTTGTCGCCAAATAAGCTCGCTACATTGCCAAATTCGCGTTTGGCCAATGCAAGGTTGAAAGCGTTGACAAGGTTCGATGCAATCTGCTCCGGCTCACGGATGATAGTTTTAGATGGCACTGGGAAGCGTGCTACTGGTATGTTGACTGAGCCAGGCACTCCACGGATGTGCGAGGGAATGTTTTGCTGGATATCTGGGGTAGCCATTGTGGAAAGACTGAGAAAGAAGAGTCGGAATTTTCAACAATGAAACAAGAAATCTTGAATAGGAAGGATTGGATTCTCTTAGTATGGTATTTGGATGGTATGAGTATTAGAAAAAAGGGGGATGCTTGAGAAGATTTATAACTTTCTCATGGCGTCTTATTAAGCCAATCCATCTGCGCAGGTGCCCAGGTGGAAGATCTTGGTCTTTGGACTTTGGAACCGCTGAGGGGTAGAATCTTCATCGTTCGAAATTGGGAGTTTCGTCGTGGATCGGCTCCGACTTAGGATCGGCATCTATGGAGTACATGTGACTAGGACAAGTCGAATGGCCAGTTACATTTGCAGGAAAGGTGGCTCCTGCAACTGGTTGGTTATTCTTTTTACGGGGCCCCGGATCGGATGATCGACTTTGGCTCCACTACTCCAGGTTTCTACTCCAGATTCTACTCCAGGCTCAGCTCCAGGTTTAGCTCCAGGTTTCAGTCTGCGCATCCGCTCTTCCGACCGTAGTTGGTCTCCATAATAAAGGGGTTGCAATTTTAGAAGCTATTGGCATGCTGATTCGTGGGCGTTCCTCCTTCTCCATCCATCCGGCTCAATAGCTTAGGCCCATGGGAATGTAGATCTACAACATTTGAAATACAGTCTTGGAAAAGACTTTGGCTCATTTCCGGGACTCACTAGCCCTGAATAGTTGGAACACATTCGCGCGCGAGACATTATTCGGTGCACAGACGTGGGTTGCTACCCCAGAATTAGGATCAGCAAAACAAATTGCCAAGCTATATATTGCCTGGAAATCATTTGAAGCTGCTTTTCAATTCCATCTTTATCAACACTTCTATTTTCCCCCTCCTATTTTCGTCCACAAAGATGACTCAAGCCTCCGATTCGAGTAAAGCTGAGACCATGTCCAACTTTGCCAACGACGTTCAGCATGCTGAATGTGGAGATGTTACATCTCCTTCTGCCTTTGAGAGAACCAGGTCTACAGGCAGTATTATGATATCTCCGGAACTTTTTGAGAAGCTTTATTTGAATCCGAAAACTCCAGTTGCTGGGAACCTTCGGAGTATCATTGGCAATCCAACCCCGATGTATGGCAGCCTTGTTTGGATCGCCTCTGCTGGAAGCCGACTGACACCGAATTAGAGCCATCACCGGCTTCGTCATGGCCTTGACCCCTCTATGCTTTTGCCTGATGGGCTGGAGAGGAGCCGGTAATAATGGGGCCGCTCACATGTGAGTAATTGGCATCAGTCTAGGTTCATATCCGGGAGTACACGCTAACTCGCTATTTGTATAGTGGGGCGTACATTTTTTTCGGGGGAATTCTGTTACTTGTTGGTGGGTTGCTAGAGTGTATTATAGGTAACACCTTTTCATCCGTGGTGTTCATGTCCTTTGGTAGGTGATATTTATGGTCATTGTCAGGTATGTGTGTGACTAATTGCTAATGACATGATTCAGCATGCTTTTACCTTACCCTCGCCGCGACTATACAGCCCTTGTATAATGCATATGCACCCTATTCACCGTCGCCTAGTGATCCAACTGCAGGCTTACAGTCGGAGGGCTTCAATGCCAGCTTTGGTTCGTCAACTACATCGCTTTTCTTTTGAGCAAAGAGTGAACAAGAGTCTAATGAGATAAAACTTCACACAGGATTTTTCTTAGTTTGTTTCAACATTTTATGCTTTTTTTACTTGATATGCGCCTTCCGGACCAATCTTGTCCTTGTTTATATCCTTTTCACTGTGGTTATTGGTGTTGGTCTCATTATCGCGGACTACTGGTACTTGGCCGTGAAAAAGGCAGCACTGGCTGAGAAGTGCCAAATAGTGAGTCACCCTGCGGTATTCTTTTTCTTTCAATGTCTCGGTATTGACGCAATCAATCTCATTTCCAGGGAGGAGGAGCTGTACTATTCGCAGCATGCCTCGGTGGATGGTATTTACTCTTTTCTTTATTGCTTGAAGCCGTGGACTTTCCTCTACGGCTTCCCGTGGGTGACCTCTCTAGCCATGTCCCGGGATTATCACAACTTAAGAAGAGGTCAGATTGACAATTCTACCTGATACACCCGGTTGCAAAATTGCGCGTACGTACAAGACGTTCAAAATGGGACGCGAGGGATGGAGATTTAGTGAAAGACCAATGTCAAATAATGCAAAGGTGCCTCGGATGTTATAGTTTTGATTTCTTTACTCAATTTCCTTTTTCATGATATATCGGTGCAATATTTCTACTATTCTATAGCACAAGGAGTAATCCGGACATAAAATGAAAGCCTTGCTGATTTTTTGCCAAGCCACATAATGGTTCTGTAGAATGAAGCCATACAATATAGTTGTGACATCGCATTCCCGAACACGGCATTGATTGGATTACATCTTATTCCTTCTCCCTTCTCCCTACTAATATCTGCGTTACACTAAAGCTTAATTGGCCTCGTAGCATAGGTAGACTTTATTATGGTGAACTAAACTATATACATATAGCCTTGCTGATCTTCTCCATACACCCAGCGGAGCCGACTGGGAATTCGGTCCCGATCATGCGGAGCCGATTGAAGCAAGGAAGCCAAACCTTAAAATCGAAGCGGACCCGACTGAAGACACACTCTCTTTTCATGAGAGAATTTCTAGTGACATTCCCAATGATGGGGGGTGGAGGGCAAATGTATTCATGTTCATTTTCTTTACACATGTGTGAGGTGAATAAATCAAGCATATACGGAGTAGTGTGTAAATATTTTAATGTAATCCCCATATTAAACAGATACACGAATTTAACAGAGGTTATCTTGGCTCAAGAAATTAATTAGCTCAGGTTTCGGCACTTATTCAACGATTCAGATAGTACGATGGAAATAGCCTCAGCCATCTCCGACTTAGCACCCAGGAATCGGAGTGCTGTAACACAGTTATCGAGTCTTGTAACGCTTGTCTGAAGCGCCTTGCTCTCATGATCAAAGATGAAACGTTGGTACTTCTGTAGCTTTTCTGTCTCTTTCAAGTGGAATATTGAAGCTTTTGAAAATGCCCTAACGAGAAGCACCGTCCAGGGCTCAGTCAAAAGCGGGCTGTCATTGACGGCGAAATGAAACCCTGGCAATTGGTTTAAACCAATCCCCCCAAAGGCCGAGGCGTCAGGACAGCGGCAAGGTCTGCCATGTCGATTGAGCTTTCTTTCCGGATTTTCATTACCATGCAGGTGTCCTGCCGCTCTATCATGGCGTCATTGCAACCAAGTCTGTTCATATCCACGAACTCGATCAGGTCGGCCAGCATGAGTGAACCAAGATGCCAGGGGATACCAATACACGGAAACCAGCTCTTAATCCGCGGAGGGACTGAATCGTAGTGCCGCATCAGATCACGGAATAAAGCCCCGTGAGTCTTTACCCAGTAGCGATACACACGTAACGTGTGTTGAATAATTTCTTCCACAACTTGGCTGCACTCAGCATTTCTCAAAGAGTTCTGAAGATATGATATGTAACGGAAGAGAAGCACCTTGACAGCGGCTGACCTGGAAACGGCTCTCGTCACAACCTCGTACGGGCAAGGCCAACGCAGGGTTGATGCCTTCTCCGTATCCTCTTGGGCGTAGAGGTCAAGTTCCCATCGACTACTAGAGATTGGGTTCTGAATATGATGTCGCACTGCTTCCTGTGCAGCTTCGTGTTGACATTCTTCATCAGAAACAACGAGTGGCCGCTCATTCATGGATGAAGAGACCGTGTCAAACATGATTGCGAGCCAGTACAAGAGGCCGACCGTCCGGGTCTCCTCCGTGCTGAACCCTTGAGAGACATGGTCCTCTGTTTTGGTGTTGTGGTTGTGGAAAGAACCTTGAAAGCTTGTCTGGCGCGTTTTGAATCGGTATTTGAGCGCGTGGATTTTGCGAGCCCCTCGCTCTATAAACACGGGCGGTCCCCCCTGATCGATGATTTCCATGATCCGTGATGGCGTTGAAGACTTCAAACTGTTGTGCTGATCCGCAGTGCTTTGAATCTCCTCTGTGCGCGCATCAAAATATTTGTTTGATGATGGCTTCTGTATAAGACCGAAAATCAGTTCAGCGAAAACCACCCTGAAGCACTCCACGTGGGAGACATCTTGAAGCGCCTGGTTTGCACATTCCCAAACGGATCGATGTAGAGTTTGCCCAAATTCATCGTGCGGCCCTTCGTTTTCATGCCTATTTACAACCCAATGACCATCCCAGCGCCGTCCCCCTTGGGCCCACTGCGTGGCAAATGTCATAATAGATAACTCGAGGGCCTTAGAAGCCGCTTGATTTTCAGATGCAGTGAGATGAATCAGTTTTGTCAACCGGGCGGATCGGTCAAGCTGTTTGATGCGATGGTACATGCGGTTTGACCATGACACGCCCCATTCATGTGTTATTTGCCCTCCTATAACCGAATTTTGGTGGACGGGCTGGTGGACGGAGAGGTGCTCGTGCCACCTCTGCCGCATCTTGTATGGGCACGTATCTTCTGCCAACCAGCAACTCAGGTTGTTCTCTAGAACATCATGATAAATTTGCAGAAGGCTCTCAGATATGAGTAGGCGGTTGGAATTTTCCATAGCAATATGATCTGCACCAAGTAAAGACAGCGGCATGACAAAGTAGTCTTGCGAGTTTCTCAGATCTTTCCGTTTTTTGTGCCCTCTCCGTGGTTCGCTTTGGCCCCTCCCCTCCCACGCCGAAGACATGGAATAAGCGGGATTATTAGGATTGGACAAAGACGTTGGGGAGGTACCAGGAATGAGGCCCTGTGAATTGAAGTCCAAGTAGTGAGAATCGTTAGAGGCGGAATCGCCCATTTCTAAATCCATGAGGCTATCCAAACCGTTATATTCGGTCTGGTCCACGTGCTCGTTGTCAGATAGAGCTATGCCGTTCACTTGTCCCGAGTCCCCTGGGTGCGAACAATTTTCATATCCCACAAGAGCCCCCATGAAGGTTGAATGGCCAATGGAACGAGGGGGAACAGGCGTGGACAGCGCGTCCCAACCAGCCACGCTAGTTTCTGCGCGAGGCGCATGTAAGGATTCCTTGGATGCATTTTGGCAATTCACCATACCAATGGGTGTTACTGATGCCTCGATCTCATTTTCGGGTGGTTGGATTCGCTGCCTTTTGTCTCGGCGTCGTTCATCATCCAGTTCAATATTTTTAGAGCCTGAAAAGCCCTGGACGTCCGTTAGACGATGACCTTGGCCCCAGTGAGGGTTCAGACCGCAGATTTTGTTTGTCCTGATGCAGTACGAGCATGGAGAGACCAGGTCTAACTCTTTGAGATGAATATTCCTTAGCCAGCTGTTCATATTTGCGCAAGAACACCGGAAGGGATGGGTGGCAGAGAGGGGGTTGTCGGGGGAGCGTGAAACGCACCATCCTGGATTCCGATATTAAGCAATTCAGCTTCCATGAACATGGGATTGCCACTATTTCGGAGATAGCCATCACATGCTTTCTTGGATTTCTTGCACTGCTCGCAGGAGTGATTTTGACGTCTCTTCGCCATGGCTGGATTGATAGGAGTTGACAGTAACAAGGCGATGCTTTCGGGAACCCAGGGAAATATCCCCCGAGTTGGACTAAGCAATATGTTTAAAGGTAATGAGGGGCCTAAGATGTTAAAACAAACCAACAAACTATCTTTCAGAACAAGGGATTACCTTACCCCGAGTCCGTGCACACCCTATTGTGCGGGGTTGCGGGGGTGGCGGGCTTGTCCGTTGAAGAGCTTAACGCCCATAGGCACTGGGCTTTGTCACAGTTTATATCATCCTAATACCGGAAATACTTAGATAGTTACCATACATATATTCTAATCTACTTGCTAGGTTTTTTTTAGTATAGAGTAAAAAAACCTAGCATGACATGACTCATATCCCACCATTCCGAGACCCTGTAGCTCCACAGTCTCTGGTCATCTTCATCTTCCTCGGGACTTTTCCATGTGATTTGGCGACAGCCATCGACTTTCTGCCCCTCCTTGAGAATGAGCTTCCAGTCAGTCGGCTTTAGGACTGAGTTGTTGGAATAGTCAAGATCAAGCCATTCAACGAACGGCCTTTTTGTCGAATGTTCCTGTTGCACACTTTTGGAAATCTTGTTTTCCTCCTGTGCTGAGTTTGGATCTTGTCTGACTGGGAATTGACTTCTTGTGACTGACATTCTGAGTTGACGAAGAAAGAAAACGAACAAGTCAAGTGCTTTGGTTTTGTCCTACACGATGACTTAGGTATGAAACTTGAATCCCATCGGGTAGTTTAATGCCCAGGTGATTCTGCTTGGCAGAAAAATCATAATACTTATAGGTGTTCATTCAGTCCCAATCTATGAAAGTTGAACACAAACCCCGATGAAACTCATCAATATCCACAGCCCTCATACCCACCTTGCCTTATCTCCATGATGGCTTAGGAGTAGGCCACTGGTCTCCGCATCCAAACGCTCAATCACCTGGAGGCTCTTTCTAACACTCTCCTCGGGCTGAATCTGCCCCTTGAGCTCAGGGTCGACTGCCTGAAACTGCTTCAGCATGACCTCGATCCCTTGTACTACCTGTGGAGGTTTCTCTCCTGCGATGATATTAGTGCCCATCATTGCCTTGCTGTGGAAAAAGGCCACTCACCCTCCCATGTATCAACCCATCCAGGGCTTAAAGCCAACACCTTGATGCCTTTAGGCGCAAGTTCTGCTGCGTACTTGGCGACTTGGACATTCATCCCGGCTTTCGCAACAGAGTACGCGACAGCATAGCTGACACCGCTCTTTTTAATTAAATCTAAATTTGCCATGGCACTGGAGATGTGCACAATCTTCTTCTGGATGCCCTTCTCAATCAAAGGTAGGAAGGCGTTTGTCGTCCATATACCGCCGTAAATAGCCGTACTGAATGGCGGGTCGAAAATTGCTCGAGTGGCTTGAGCATCAAAAGGAATCTGAGTCGGATTGAAGGACATGCTGGCCATATCAACAGCGTTGGAGTTGTGTATAAGCACGTCTAGTTTACCCCCTGTGACGGCGGCTGCGGCCGAGGCAGCCTCAAGAATGGACTTTGGGTCTGTAACGTCGCCTTTGATAACATGCACGTTAGGGTGATTGGAGGCGAGCTCAGATATTTCGGGCGATTCGGGGTTTCGCACAATAGCCAGGACCGTGTTGGTCGTATCAGCAGCGAGTTGGCGCACGAACTCGCGGCCAATGCCTTTGGAGGCCCCGGTGATGGCGTATGAAGACATTCTTTATTTTTATTCAAGTAAAATAAAAGATATCCCAGTGATGAATGTATTGATTTATTGCTGATACCATTGCGATATTCGTTGGATTTACTTCCCTTTTATATATACTTCGGCGGATTACAAACCGATCCGACCGGATGGTCCGGGTTTTCCGGTCCAACTGCCAGCAACCGGCCAAGGGCCAACCGGTCGCTCCGTTTCCTGCCCGGCTCCTTATGCGACATCATGAACGCCACAATAACTACAGTCAAAAGGAGGGCATGCGTGGCATGCACGACTGCCAAGGCGAAATGCACACCACAGGCCGTCAACCTGTGCCAGCGGTGCGCCCGTTTGGGAAAGTCATGCATATACCTTGACCTTCCGCAGACAAAGCGGAAGCATAAGGCTGCACCGAGGTAATCCTTCCAAGAATACATGGTAATTGTGGTATTAATTATAAATGTAGCCGTGTGGAGGTGCTAGAAAAGAAGGTCGACCAGTTGACGTCGCAGTTGGCTGCCTTAACCCGACAGAGCGGGCGGTCATCAGCCGATACTTCTAATCCGCTCACCAACACATTGGGCTCATCTAGTGACCCCGAGCTGGATTCGACAAACCTTGCTGCGCTGCTAGAGGTTGCTCAAGACCCGTCCCACGGCCTCGATCCGCCGACCAGCTCCGTTCTAGAGGGCCAGCCGTCTATCGTAGATCAAGGGCTCTTGAGTGAAGCCGAGGCTGAACGCTTGTTTATGACTTTCCAGACTGACTTAGTGTCTAAATTCCCCTTTGTATTGATTGCGAACGGCGTGGCAGCCGCTCGCCTTAGGGACCGAGAGCCTTTTCTATTTTTGTGTATTGTGGCCGCGACCATAGGCAGTGCGCATCCTCTGCGCAAAATTGTTGCGGAGGAAATTATGAAGCATGTTACATTGAGGGTTGTGGCACGGTCTGAGAGGAATCTCGAGTTGCTCCGTGGTCTGTTGGTTCATATCGCATGGTACTCATATCCCGCAGAGAGATATCACCCGCAACTTTTGCTGTTGATTCAGCTTTGTGTTTCGATTTTGTATGATTTGGGACTTCACAAAAAGTCTAGTCCGAATTTGGATGAGCAGCGGGCGCTGCTTGGTACGTATTGGCTGTCGGTTGGGTAAGGTTGTCTGCGCTGGTAGATGTGGCTTCGGCTAAATATATACTAGTTTATGTGGCACACTTGGCCGGCCGATTATCATGAAGCATGATGGTCGAATCGATGAGTGCATTGAGAGTGCAGCATCGACCGAGCATATATCGGATAAGTGGATTGCGCCATTTATCCATCTACAGTCGTTCTTGGCAACAGTGGATGAAGTTTACGCTTCGATGCAACTAAACGGTGGAACTGTGCTCGTTCAAATTACGCGCGGCGCTTTGCAGCGGAAATTTGACGGTCTGAGGGCATGCGTAGAAAAGGATATCTCAGGCTGCCCTTCATCAACAGGTTTGTCTTGGATCCAAAGTGGTTGATAAAGATTGACCGATCGTTACAGAGAATGCAATACGCACCGAGATCAAATACGTGGAAATGCGGCTCGAGGAATTATCTCTTCGGAGCGAACTGTGGATTGCGGAGCCTGCCAGCGCAATCCGGACAACGATGCTGATGGGTGTAATCCAGCGAAGCAAGGAACTCATCCACATGGTCAGAAACCTACCAGTGTCGGAGATTGCCCAGATGACAATATCTACAAGTGCTCGTATATGCGCCGCAGTGGGCTACATGCCCACTGCAGTATTGACCCTTCTCAATCTTATTACTGACCCTACCGACTCTTCCGTGGAAGCCCAAGTGCAGGCCGTTGTTGACGCAGCAGAGTATCCCAATGTTGTCATAGAGCTTGCCAATTCGCTGGAGACAAGATGTGAGGGAATGTCTGCTGCAGACAAAGAGACAGATATTGTGGGGAGCCTTTGCTCTAAAATGCGGCTGTTAGCACGCTGTTATCCATATCAAATCAGAGCAATTGTCGGAAGTGCGCCATCCCAAGACAGAAGGCAGGATACGCCTATGATAGCCGCTCACACCAATGAGGTTGCTGTGACACCCCCAGTCTGGCCGGGTGGATCTACGTACGGCGATCCGGGCGACTTGTTCCCTATCGACGACATCCAGTGGGATTCCCTATTGAGTGATTTTACTGGTTTTAGCTAGCAAGCCGATATCCATGGATGCTACTTTGTGAAATGCCACAAGACAGTCGATACAACAGATTATCAAGGTCTCCGCCTAGTTCATATTGCATAGAATTCTTCCAGTAAACCATTAATAAACATCGTGTGAGGCACGACACAACGCCCAGGTATAACGGTCTTGAAAGTGTGGTCATTGAGTCAAGTCCATCCATAATACCGAACTGTATAGAAATGGTGTTCTGTTTGGTAAACCTGGATATCATCGTAGTAAGTTCCGGTTAAAGACCTCACAGTAAGAAGGTCCCCAACGGGTGGAACGGATTCCCTGGGACTGGGTGGGTGGAGTTTCCGGTTGAAACCCACGGAACTATACTATCCCAACTAAACAATAAGACTAGGGCTCAGATTCTAAGGCCGATCTCATGGCATCATCTCATTCGCAATTGAGTATACCAAGGGGAAATATAAGAGCGAGAGAAGCATGACACGTATATACACAAAGGCGAAGAAAGATGATTCCGAAGGCGTGCATAAGTTAACATCAAACACCTTGACAGCCAATATTCATCACTAGAGATCAGGAATCGTAGTTTCATAATCTAATACAGCGGGATGCTTAACCTCGCCCACGGTCAACTTGTTCCAATCCTCTTCAAACCTCTCCTCGACATCAGGGAAAGGACCCAAAGGCGTGATTGCCTTTGGATTGATATCCGCATGGCTCTTTGTATACTGTATCAAGTCAGTTGGTTTCAACGTCAATTACTACCAAAAAAAGGTATGCCAACATACATTTTCTTTGATATGTAAAAAGTTCGTCGAGTCCTTCGCCGCTTTAACATTCCAATACATGCCCTTGAGCCAGTTATTCAAAACCGGATAATCGTGTCGGATGGTGCCTAAGTTGCATTTGAAATGTTGCACATACACCGTATCAAAACGGATCAATGTTGCATATAATCGAATATCCAGCTCAGTTAAATCCCGACCGAGCACAAATGGACCACCGTTATTTGCAATAATCTTCTCGAGTTTGTTCAAGGCTCCAAACACAGGAATGACGTTTTTGTCATACTCTTCCTGCGAGGATGCAAAGCCTGCTTTGTATACTCCAGCATTGACATCAGATTGTATCCATGGGGTGACTGCGTCGATTTTATCTCGCAGATGTATCGGGTAGAGGTCAATTGTAGCAAGTGACGGTGGGAGTAGCTCATTGAATGCCGTGGGGAGCCATCGTAGAAGTTCCGCACTTTCCTAGCGACGGTATCCGGTCAGTATAGATTTATTCGCGCAGACTCGCTAGGTGTTGTACATTGCAAACCGCCGTTCCGGTCTTCTTATCCCACAGCAACGGCACCGAATACCGTCCCTTGTAATCCGGATCGGCTCGGAAATAGATTTTGTGCATGTAGTCTTCACCAAACAGGTGATCAACTGTCGCACCAAGATACTCATCATCAGAGGCTGGGAACCGCCATCCTGGCCAGCCTTTGGCGTCACCCTTGGGGTATGGCTTGACAATGCTGATATCAATGAATTCGGTCAAGCCTTTTAGATGACGGACAAAATTTACGCGATGGGCGAAGGGGCAAAAGAGGCCGATATAGAGATGGTAACGGTCTTTCTCGGCGGGGAATTGCTCACTCGGGATGACGCCATGCCAGCCGTCAGCAGTTGCGGGGTCGTGGATTGAGGTTTTGATTGTCATGGCTGATGAAACTTCGATATCACTGAGAAATTGGGTTCAGTTCAAATATCGACAAAGATAATTCGGGACGTGTTAAGTTGTGTAGGTGTAGGTGTCCAGGCGTTAAAGTCTTTTGATTGATAACGTGCGGAACTGTTCCGCCAATGTGACACCACCGCCAGGATTTATGAGCATTGAGATAACTAAACATGTTTGGCCTAATGTCATTTGCTCACGTCTCTCGATTTTATAAAACTACACATTGTCCAAACTCGACCCTTTTGCCCGTTCGCAAAACTCTCATACATCTGCAACTATTGACCAGCCCCAGAGAACTTGCCTAGCTCCCGAACCTTTCCATTTTCGATGCCCTAGTTAAGTGAGATGCGGGTTTAGATTGAACCTTAGGGCCAATCAAATCTCACAAGGGGGTTTCGGCCGACGATCCATTTTTACAGATAACTATTTCATCTTTGTGCAATTAGTATATTCAGTATATTCTTGGGGATTCGTCATTAGTAAAAACAAGAATAGTCGGTCACTTCTGCGGCCTTGTCATGTCTTTTGTCATGTCTTTTTAGGTGTGTATACCAAGGCGGTAAAAAAGCATCCTTATACTTTGTGCAAGAGACTTTGACATAGACTTAGCCTCGGAGGGATGGTCATAGGGGTATTGAATTCATTCTGTGATCCTACGAGCATAATCTTCGTTCTCGGACCCTTCCGGTGGCTTTTAATGATACATATTAGGAGCCATGGGGTCTTTTGGCAAAGGTGCCTTAAGTTTAAAAGTAATACGAAACTCTAGAAAATAGTTATATCTTGGACCTATGATACATTTTATTTTGATATATGTTTCCAAAAGGGCAGGAGATCGCTAAGAAGAATGGGTCTGGATGGGGCCGATAATGGAGACAGCCTATAGAAGAGAAAGTGGAAGATAAGAAGCCTTATAAATCTACAACATACAAAGTACAGCTGAAAAGAACTAAGCAACGCCACATGATAAACGATAATTTCTCTTCCAATTGCCCAATGCCTCCAAGGCTTATCAAGTCCCTAGGCGCGTCTCTCCCCGCAAAGAAGCCGGTTGGCAGCCGGGACCCACAGTTATCGCGCAGACCTTCTCAATTAGGAAATCCAGAATATCTATCTTATCACATTGTCAGTTGAGTTACTCTGGGGTTATGACAAAAGGTATGGGGTGTGATCTGGGTGTTGCTGGGTGTTACTGGGTATTCCTCGTTGATAAGTTGTGTTGATCCCCCTTGCTGGGTTTCATTTCAGCTTATTGTTTCTGTCACTCGCAATAATGTCAGTTGAAGACGAGAATCAAAAAGTGTTTCAAGGCACACCGAGTGAAGATGTTCGTCTGGAGAATTTGGGATATGAGCAGGGTATGTCTAAAGAGGATAGATGCTTTGTGTTGCGAGGCTAACCAGCGTAGAGCTCAAACGCTCTTTCGGCTTGATAGGGATGATTGGCTTTAGTTTCAGTATTGTGACATCGTGAGTTCATCGCTCGTGACCTAACATGAGTTTACACTAAACGCACCCTTAGATGGACGGCACTGAGTGGTGTGTTCATCGTCGGAGTATCTTCCGGCGGTCCTCCGGTTATGGTCTTCAGTTTTCTCGGCGTTAGTCTGTTGACTCTAGCCGTCGCAATCCCTATGGCAGAAATGTGTTCGATGTATCCGGTAGCAGGTGGTCAATATTCCTGGGTTGCAGCACTCGCTCCACCGAAAATCGCTCGAGGTCTTTCATACGTGACAGGATGGTTCATGCTAATCGGTAAGCCTATTTCTTAAGTGCCCCAACGCCTACCTATAGGTACTAATGTGGAAATAGGTCTCTTGGCTATGGGTGCTACGAACAATTCTATTGCGTCAAACTTTGTCTTGGGCATGGCAAACCTCGTCTTTCCCGAATTCGAGATTCAGAGATGGCAAACAGTGCTTGTTGCCTACCTTGTCGCATTCCTCTCTGCCGCCGTCAACCTCTGGGGCTCACACCTCTTGCATCGGATCTCGAAAGCCATTCTCATCTGGAACGTTGCCTCCTTCGTCATCGTCACCGCCACAATTCTTGCCATGAACGATCATAAGCAGCCCGCTTCTTTCGTGTTCCAGGATTTCCAAAACGGAACTGGCTTTGGTACTGGGATGGCTGCAATTATTGGTGTTCTCCAAGCTTGCTTTGGAATGTGTTGTTATGATGCCCCTTCACATATGACCGAGGAGATGAAGTCTGCGTCAAAAGAGGCACCCAAGGCTATCGTCCTCGCTGTTGTTCTTGGTGCCGTGACTGGATTCGCTTTCCTCGTTACTCTTTGCTTCTGCATTGGCGATATTGAGACTACTGCTAACACAAGCACCGGTGTGCCTGTGATTCAAATCATTTACGACTCCACTGGAAGCAAGGTGGCTACTTGTATTCTGTCGAGTTTGATCGCTGTGATTGTGATCGTCGCAGGAAACAACATTCTTGCTGAAGGCTCACGATCCGTCTACGCATTTGCTAGAGATAATGGTTTGCCATTCTCTAAGTTCTTCAGCAAGGTGGAGAGCAAAACCCACGTGCCTGTCAATGCCGTGCTTCTTACTCTCGTTGTACAACTGGCCCTCGATGCCATCGAATTCGGTACTACCACTGGCTTTGAGACAGTCATCGCCATCTCAACTGAAGGCTTCTGTAAGTTTGATAGCTCACATTCGATCCTTCCTTTACTAATAGATTATCTACAGACTTGTCATACGCAATGGCCCTTTTCAGTCGCCTAGCTGGCTACTATACCGGTCACATAGCCAAACTTGACGGTCCATACTCATTCTCTGTGCCGGTCTCCATTGCGCTTAACATCATCGGACTCCTCTTTCTTCTCTTCGCAGCAATCACCTTCAACTTCCCTAGCGAAAATCCGGTTACTCATCAATCAATGAACTACACCAGCGCCGCGATTGGCGTTGTTGCTCTCATTAGCGGTATCACCTGGATCACAACAGGTCGCAAGCAATTTTCGGGACCTGGTGCGATGAGTTTCTTGAGGGGTGAGAATACCGCGACAGAAAATGTGGTGGAAGCGGTTGCAGAGGGCAAGGACGAGAAGAAAAATTGAATCATTATTGGCATACCACATGTATTTGTATTTATGTTGCTTTCTCAAGACGTTGACTTTAGTGCGATATAGGAATGCACTCCTTGCAACAGAAATTTATATTTTAAACCTCAAAAGATAAATTGAAGTAGTAAAACATAACGCCAACCTTACCATACAGAAACAGCTAATCATCTGAACACTGGGAAATACTAGATAAAAACCAATTGTCCCAGCTTGTCCTTGTCCCTTGATTCAAGAAACCCATCCATCCTCCTCCTGTCAGGCGCAATCATAACCTCGGATGCCTCTTTACTTTGCCAGATCTCCGGGGTGTAATATAAGCTTGGCAAATCTTCATGGACCAGATGGAGATTGCCACGGATGAATGCTTCAAATGTGGCTTTTTCCGGGGATGTCTCCTTGTCGGCCAGCTTCTTAGAAGCCTCTGCACGAGCCATAGCAATTAAGAAAACTTGGATCCAGAACATCTTGTGTGTGACCGAATCCACCCGAGGACCTGACATTTTTTCTGCTTGTTCCAATGCAGTCTTTCCTGGGCCATTTTCTGATCCCACTATAAGCTTTCTATATAAATATAGTAGCAAGTGCGAATGGCTCGATATACTGGGAGAATCCACCATTGAGGATCCAGCCAGTGCCTGCACATCTCGAATGACCCAGATTGCCTGGAAAGAAAGGCACTCGACTGTTGGCAACCTAGGACTACTCTGTAGCAGAGAAAGTTCCATCTGCTTGAAAAGAGCAGCCTGCTCTTGGGATTGGGATGAGATGGTGATGACATTTGGTATCGGTTTGAGGTCTGGTGGGACGAATTCCACGCGTGCAGCAATGCTATTCCAGACCTTTTCAGAGTAATACTGTCTCCAAGTAGATGAGTTCAATTCGAAGAGCGCGTTGAGAGTAGCGGAGCCAATGCGCGATGCAGGAATGTCAACTATTGACCTTTCGCTTGTTGAGCTTCCCGGAGTTGCCTTGATTGATTGGATGGCAGCATGAACCACTTGAATCCAGAAGTAGGCTTGTGTTTCAGAATAGGGGGGGACAGACGAGTTTGTCGTTCTGAGGCGTATCGTGGTCATCCTTAGCGAATCGAGCGCTTCCTTGATAACTTGGCCGCGGCGAGAGCCTGAAGTGAGAGTATGTTGCACAACTGCAAAGGCGTATTGAAGGAGCCTGTCAGGGTTACTGACTTGCCCTGAGGGGGAATCCTGATTTGGACTTGATATCCCAGACAGGGGTTGCAGGTCAGGAAGTGACCATGACTCCCGTGCCGTTTCAGAGAACATATGCTCCTTGGTGTAGTATAGTTTCCAAAGGCCGGTATTCATGAGTGATGGTGTGTAGAGCAAGACTCGTTGAAATTCATTCCAGGATGGGAATACTTCTTTCTCTGTGTGGAGTTTATATTTTAAAATAGCATTCTGAAGTTGGACGAGCCAGAATATTGTCATTGTTCTTCGATGTACTTCAGCATAATGTCTTTTGAAAAAGATCATCGATTTGGCAAGGCTGCTTACCGATGTTCTGTATTGCGAAAAAGGTCAGGTTTCATCGTTCTCAGTCTCTTCAAATGCCCGAGGAAGGTTTCCGCCATATCGAAGACATTCTTTCCTTCTTTGATTGACTCCAGGGTAACAATGAAGCCCGACTTGAGGTGACTGCGGTGGTCCCACTCTGTCAAATTAGCACCCAAAAACGAATGCCAAAATTGCTGAGAATCCATATGATCTCTAGAGCCTTCCTCTTCAATTCGCACTTTGAGGTCATGGTCCTCTGATATCTGCTCTTTCTGGAACTGTTGTGAGGCAATGTGCTTAGGTGTCCGTTGTTGATGGTGGCCTTTTTCTATGCTACTGACGAATTCATGTAGATCACTCATAACCTCCTTGACACCTTCCCCAGTCTTGCCACTCACGGAATAATCAATGACTCTGCAGTTGACCGGATCGTCAAACATTTCCTTTAACTTTTTGTCATATATCAAGCGCAGATCCTCAATGCCTCGTGCAGAGAGAGAGTCTTGCTTGTTTAAGATAACCCATAAACTTCTATAACCCACACTGAGTATTTCTCTGCCAATGCTAGAGAGGAGATCGAGGCTTAGTTGAGTGTCTTCCTCATCCCAGGTGCAGTCATGAAAGAACAAGACAGATGTATCTGCGGTATAAAGGTATGCTAACCAATTTGGGTACCGAAAGCATCCCACTGCATGTGTTTAGAACAAGGGTGAGTTGTCCAAGAAGGAGAATTGACGTACTTCCAGTATCCCAAACCATATATGTGCGGCTTTTATATTCGAAGGGTGTGGGATAGTAGCCCATGGTTGGGAATGTGCAGACTGCCTGACCAAGAGTAAGTTGAGAGAGAAAGGTAGTCTTCCCAGAGGCCGCATCTCCAATAAGGAGAACTCGAGTTTCAGAATGTCCATAGAGCCACTTAATGACGCCCTGTAATGCCTTGAGGGCCATTTCAGGTGTATAAAATGAGAAAGGCAGAGTATCGACTGCTAAACAGAAAATAATCTCCAATAGTCTATCTAGCCCTGGAGGACCAACGTAGAAGGTATCTATGTAGGTACCTAAGTCACTAGCCTGGACCTCAGATGAGATGGATGAGTCAGTGGGACTGGAGCACGCTAATCCAGTTAAGGTGACACTTAGGGCATAGGGCTCTTGTAAAAAAAATTGATCTGTGAGGGAGACAATGATAGAATGTAAAGACTTTAACTAGCAGCATGGTGGTTTCTTGCATGCTAGTAATAACGCCCTCCTAAGACCAGGACGTGATTGTGGGAAGTGTGAGAAGGGGATATTGACAATGGGGGCATAGTAGTATTAGTACAACCATTGAAAAGAGAGATAATCTCATTTAAAGGGTTAAGATTAATGATTGGTGAAGGATAGAGGATAAACTTACCCAGGTAGTTAGCGCGGTGACCAGGTGAGCCAAAAACAAGGTTGTTGTAGTGTAGCTTTGCTACTACCTGGTCGGACCGGGACAGGAATCGTATACACGTCAATCAACATTGGAATATAGAACAGGGCTTGGAGCTCTCGGCTGCGAAATGGAACAAATGTGATATGTAAAGAGGTGATATGGCTCTCTACCTAGGTAGGGCTGAAATTCGTCTGACGTAATATGGAATGCGGGGGCCAGGGGCTCATTGAGCTTTGAGGCTCAAGTTCTGTAAAGTTGAAAACGCCAAAAGCCCAAATGACTTAGATTCCTGATATAGTTCGCGATTTTGAGCTTGAAACGCGCTTTCTGCCTGATTGTAGCGATACCATTCATACCTACCATGAATATGACCTGGCTTCCGGACGCCGGCTTGTAGTTCGAGCGGAACACTAGCAACGGCAACGCGAGATTGGAAGCGGTACATATGGAAACATATGGCTTGAGAGATGCATCGAAGGGGGTCGTTCCGGCGTGGAGGTTCGAGCAGTCCAGCAGCTTCCGACGGCCTATAGTGATATCGACTATCATTGTGAGTTGGAAGCTATAACTAGGTTTTCGCATCCAAAAGTATCTCCCCCGGGTTCTGAAACACATTTTAAAAATTGGGTCTAAAGATAAATAGTATGAACGTTGTTTTACCACATCTTTCGGGTGGTTCAAAAGCCCTACCTATCTCTTCATCGTTATGGAGTATCTTGAACATGGAGATCTGCTGGTCTATTTAAATAACAGACCGCCACTTCCAGAAACCGAGGCAAAAGTGATTGCTTTTCAGATTTTGGAAGGACTCACTATGATGCATGGGAATGAGTTTGTTCATAGAGATTTGAAACCAAACGTAAACTCGCCCCTACCTCCCTCTAGAAGAAAGATCTTGTCCCTCTTCTCTTCTGACATTCATGTCCTAGAATATCCTGATCAAGTCACACCCACCGAACACGTGGTGGGTCAAACTCTCGGACTTTAGGTTAAGTAAGCGTGTCGAAGAAGCATCGGGAGCTTCTACTCTAAAGGGTACACCTGGATATATAGCTCCCGAGCTCTATAAGTTCACGGAGCGGGGAACTGCTTATGCGCCTGATATATGGGCTGTTGGTGCGATAATGTTTTTTATGCTTCTTAAAACCCCTGTCCCTCAGTCGCCAATTGAACCTATGACTGAAGAATTTGAGTTGGAATTTGGGTTGTGGAATACAGAACCTTTGCTTACTCTGGGCGAAACCCATCAAGAACCCAATAATCAGCCCAGTACTGTATCTACGGAAAGCCTGGTTGTTGCAGTGCACCGTCAGACGATCAGTGATTGTGGCGGTGTGGTTCGGCCGATAAATAAGTTTATTCACCGAGGCTTCTCAGGGAACATTTCATTTTCAGCCGACAGCAGAGTTTTTGCCATGTCCAGGAATACGGAGACCATCAGGCTCTGGAATACCTCATCATATTCCCAGCTACCTGGGCTAAAGGGGAAGCTATATATTGCGTTCTCGCCGGACGGAAAGTTGATTGCATCATGTGGTACTTTCGCCTACATGCAGCTGTGAGATGCCGTCACCCTCGCAGAAGTTGGTCATACCAATCTCTCCGACTACCCACATACTGGCGTGTTCTCTCCAGACAGCAGGATGATCACCTATGCGATCAATCATAAAGTGGTTGTGCAAGAGGTCTCCAGGGGATCAAAACGCCGCATAGCCAATTGCAACTTTGGTTTTCGAGATAAAGACTTCCCCAATTACCCCAGCTTCTCTCATGATTCAAAGTTTGTCTGGTGTGCGTGTTTGAACAAATACCAGATGTTGGATATTGAGCAGAATCTCACCGGTCGTATTTTCAAGCTACCCGTTCTGAGCAAAATGATAAGTATATCCATAGACGGAAAGTATTTGGCATATCCAGACAATGCGAAAAAAGCGCATCTCCATCTACTGAAACTTTCTACGAGACATGTGGTGTTGAAGATCGAGACCGGCATACATAACCCCACGAGCTTAGCCTTCTCCCCTAACAGCAAACTACTTGCAGTATCTCTCCGTCAATCTTTTTCTCGTGACAATATCAGCTTGTGGGACATTGAAACAGCAAAGAAACTCTCAGAGATTGTACTCCATGATCTAATCCGATCCATAGCCTTCTCGCCTCATGGCACTATGCTCGCATCGACGAATACCAATGGCTCTACTACACTTTGGGGTGCTGATACAAGACGCTAGTATGAGTAGTGTGTTCTTTTGGGGTTTTATTCCAGATAGATAGGAATGACTGGAGTTTGGGGCTTGGGCACCTAGATAGTAGCAATCTACTAGTTACACCAAAATGCCAAATAGGTGTTCCCTTCATAAGCAGTAGCTATATACCCGTGGACCATGCAGCTTTTTGCTCTACATAGAATTAATCTGTACGGCCATAGATTTCATTGCTTTCAATATTTCAGGCACCTGGACCTCTCCTTTCTCAAATACTCTCTTTAACCAAGCACAACCAACCAATTTTATGTGAGCTCCTTATAAAAAGGCGCTACTTTATGCTCCTGTCTTTAATTTTCCATGTGCAAAATAGAAACCTATTTTCAATGTGTAGAATTTCCCCATGGTTCGTTCATGTTGTATTTTAGTTTATTAAACATACCCCATACGACTCCATACGACTCCATACGACTCCATACGACTCCATACGACTCCATACAACCCCATCTATGGATTAAAAAAAAGTGGACCTGCGCGGGATTGAACCACGAATCTCCGAGGAACTGGCATGAAAACTCCCAGGGGGATGTTTACATAAGCTCGGCGCCTTAACCATTGGGCCACAGGTCCTGTGTCGCAACTCCGTGGCTGACGACCCACATTATAAGATTCACTTCCCATAGTCCCAGTCTCACCTAAAGCCTGTCTCAGCTTGGGGAGGCAGGTAAAATATACAAGTACCAGGACTATCATCGTCTCCATTTAAACTGCGTTAGTCTGATAAATGAAAAATGCGACTCAAATTGGAATGTTGCATTATTTAATAAGTGATGGAGGAAAAATTAAATTAAATAAAGTAAAATTCGGTTGATCTAAGTGGATCACGTGTGGGGCTTAAGCCCTAGTACGTACCACCTTAGTACAAGTACATGCAAAGCTGAATCCAAACGGAATCCAAACGGAATCTAACAGAGAATCTTGTCACTTGATATATTAGCTCTTGGCATTCGCTGTAACCTTGTAAAATATGCCAGATACAATAAAGCCTTCTTTCAATATGCATACCAATGTGCGTGGTTATCTTGGCCTTTGTCAACATTTATCCCTAAAAAGGTTGCTTTATACTCTTAACAATACCTTGAATTAATCAACGTCTTTGATGCTGAAAGCCGGGGTATGTGAAGTAGGAAAAGAAGAAAGATCAGCAAAAGAGCTATCTGGAAGTACCGTCCTTCACCAAGGCAGTGAAGTACTGTTAGAAGTTGCAAGATCAAAAACGCACTCATGATCCACAAAAATGCGCCCAGCTACAATACCATCCCTATAGCTCTTGGCAATCTATACAACAAGGACAATCCATTGCTGACAGCAAGGGCTGGGATCTACAACTGGAAATGACATTTCGAATGGCTCCTTCGCATGCTTTTTAGCTCCTGAGTTGACCACAACTTCTTCATCCTGGAGGCGTTCAATCACATGTGCATCAAATCTGCATCGCAGAGGTGGCGGTCTCCAGCGGAAAGCTTGACCGTGATCCACCGCACCCCTGGACCTGATTGATAGGGCTCAAGGATGGCTCGACCACTCTTCCTGAATACAGTAGGTGCGTACGGCATGATGTGCGGGTTGGCTATGTAAATTGACGACTTGGATGAGGTGAATGGCCAAAGGAGTTTGCTGGTTTATTTTGCACGTGCGACAGTGAAGCGCGTTGCTGTGTGGTGGTAAGAAAGGCCGAGATAAGGACTCGGAGTGTTTATATACGTCGATTTGAGATAAAGCACTATTTTCGAGCATCAGCTTTAACCTGATTTTCTCTTGTGATAATTTCTTTCGTCCGGTATTTCAATGGTTATTTATTATGAAGTCAACAAAGAAACAGTGTATAATTGCTTAAACGTCAGATCCATAACAAAACAAACCCCAGAGGCAGTAGCCATTGTTCCCGATGGTGCAAATAGTAACAAAGATAATTCCCAACCCTTGCAGGTAGAAACCAACGTATATTTTCTTTCATCCCATGACACTGTTATTTAACACGCTTCAAGTTCTGATCTGGCAGCTCAACTATAGCGCTGAGTGATTGGCCCGGTCTCCCTTGATTACCATGCCATATTAGGCAACATGCGTGAGCTTCGCAGTCTTTGTTGATAAGTGCAACTGGTCGGGAGATGAACCTTGGAAAGAAGCTGCTATTACTCATAGTCTAGGGCGTTTTCGCGACCATGTGTACCTACCATTTTCATCCATGGGTGTGCTTGTATATCCCTGGTTTTTCCAGGTCTGGCATGAAAGGGGGGGGTAGGACCTCGGCTTTTCCAGGGTGTCCGAGCTTTTCAAGGTGCAGATCTCTAACCTGTTCTTAAAACACGCCATAACCTAAACCGCCACCCAAAACTGACCGACCGACCCACAACTGGTGAAAGGGATAATACCCAAGAAAATAGTCGGGTGAGAAATAGACTGAGATGTTTAAGCGGTGAGATGTAACCATATGCAGTCATTTAACCGATTACACTGTGATATTTCCCCATTAGTCTATGTGTTAGTCTATAAGCGGAATGGCTGAGACAAAGTCATTTCCATTCTGCCATATCGTATCCGCCCATGTTTCTCTTTAACCAATCATCTCCATGAACTTATCTTTCTCTTTATTTCTCCCTCTCATCTGGGGCCCCGCATCCAACCTTTATGGGGATTCCCCAGACATCAGAAATAGGGCCCCCCAATACTTTGACCAGTCAAATCCCTAGACTCACTGCAATTTAAACTTCCTCCGGCCTTACCTCCCAAGTCGGTTACCCAAACGCCACCAACTCTCTAGCCAGGCAATTCCCAACGCCCTCGGCGATAGCTAACCTTTTTTAGTCGCAACTAAGCCTCCAACATATTAGGTTCGGCGCCTTCCTAGGCTCGGGTAAATTGCCTCCTGTAACCGTGGTGCTCGTTTTCGGAAAATGGGTAAAACCCCGGCGGGCATGAGGTTGCATCCCTGCCTGTCTATTCGATCGCTGACTTTTTTAACCAGGTCTCAGATGGCGGGCGGAATTAATCCACGTATCACGCACATCCCGTGCAGCTCGAGAGACGCGCACATGGTCAAAGAAATATAAGACCCTCAGCTTACCTTAATTTTCAATTTTCTCTGAGCTTTTGATTTCCATCCACTTTTTCTCCTGGAAATAACAAATATTTCCAAAAATGTCGTCAGATCTCGACAAAAGCGATGAATTGCACGGCGAGAAGGCCGCCGTTGAGCAAGCCGAGGTCTTGGTCAAGTCGGATCTCATGAACGATGCCTTCGATGGCGAGAACCGCGAACATGATATGACTACGTGGGAAGCCATTAAGAGCCATCCCTGGGCTTGCTTATGGGCATTTACCATGTGCTTCACTATCGTGAGTTTTTTATATTGATTTCCCCGCGTTTCGGGTTTCCCCAGATCCCCAGATCCCCAGATTCCCCCAATGCCACCATATCTCAAGATTTCAAGATCATATCAGCTGATGTATGATATATTCCCAATTAGGTCATGGAGTCGTTCGATATGTTCCTGAATGGTAACTTTGTCGCCCTTACCGCTTTCAAAAATCATTATGGTGTCGACGTCGAGGGACACGGTAAAACTATCCCAACCAAATGGCAGTCCTCCCTGTTTCAAGCTGGCCAGTGCGGTGCTTTCGTCGGTGTTTTCTTAGCGGGACCTATTACGAATAGGTTCGGCTACCGGCTGGTGAGCCACAATACGCTAATCGATAACTTTTCTTCGAGGCATTTCCTGACTTTCTTTAGACTACCATCTTCGCCTTGCTCCTTATGAACGCCACGATTTTTGTTTCCTTCTTTGTGAGCAAGCCAATCTCCCTCCCCAATTGCTGAACTCATCCCCTAACGCCGTTTAGGCCAACTCACTCACCCTCCTTGTGGTCGGCCAAGCCTTAGAAGGTGTCCCTTGGGGATTCTTTATTGCAAACTCCCCCGCCTATGCCAGTGAGATTGTGCCTCTCTCCCTGAGAGGTGCCTGTACAGCTACTCTGCAAATGAGTTGGTCCATTGGTTCAATCATTGTCGCCGCCGCAACCTACGGCTACAATAAGCGCGATGATCAGTGGGCTTGGCGAGTGCCTCTTGCCTTGCAGTGGATTTTCCCTGTCAGTTCTCTCCTTTTGAAAACTCATATTCACAGGTGCTGACTTCTTCTAGACCCCGCTCTTGGTCCTCCTCTTCTTCGCCCCCGAGTCGCCTTGGTGGCTGATTCGCCGTGGACGCAAAGAGGAAGCCCTTCGTTCCATCAAACGTCTTGGTAGTGACTCTCACGAGCATGCTCAGCAGAAACTTGCCGTGATCGAGCGAACTGTTCAGATTGAAGCTCAAATGGGTGGTTCCCCAACTCTCCTCGACCTTCTCAAGGGAACCGATTTAAGACGAACAATCATTACCTGCTTGATCTACGCGTCACAGAACTTCGCTGGTAACTTGATTGCCAACCAGGCAACCTACTTCTTCGAGCGTGAGTAACTTCTTTTTTTTTCTCTAACCAAACTTCAACCCGCAATCGATGACTGACTCCATATTAGAGGCCGGCATGAGTCCCGACCGTTCATTCCAACTTAATCTGATTAACTCATGTCTTCAATTGGTTGCCAACATACTCTCTTTACCTCTAGCCTCCTCATTTGGTCGCCGAACCATCTATCTCTGGGGCACAGCTACCAACATCACACTTCTTATGCTTCTCGGCGTCTGCGCCTCTATTCACCAGAACCACGCGACCAACTACGCGCAAGCCATTCTGGGAATCGTCATCTCCTTCGTGTTTGCCGGCAGTCTCGGACCCATCTCATACACCATCATTGCCGAGACCTCATCCGTCCGTCTTCGCGCTTTGAGTACCGGTGTGGGTCGTGCCGCATACTATGTCGCTGAGATCCCCATGATCTACCTTGCCTCGCAGATGCTCAACCCTAGCGGATGGAATCTCGCTGGAAAGTGTGGTTACGTCTGGGGAGGTACTGCTTGTGTCTGC